CCAAGGCATCTACGAACTGATCCCTCAGCAACAACTTGAGGAGATCGGGTGGTGCAGTTGGGTAGGCCTTGTGTGCATGCTCTCCCCTTTAGCACGGACTCTCGTCCTAAACCTGGCTCTGTAGACTTCTGACTGATTTTGGGTTCCGTACCTGAGTTCTAGAGCCGACACCAGTGCTCTATAGTTGTGCCTGTCGTCTACTAACAACTGTCCAAGTATTTCCAGTTGTTGTCCCTTCAAGCTAGTTGCCAGATATACTGCATTCTGCTCCTCTGTCCATCCATTCATCTCTGCCAGTAGCTCAAACTGTGCTCTATGTGCTTCTCACGGTGCTTTCCCATCATATTCCTGTGGCTTCCTTCGCACTGGATCACTCTTGTTACTAACATTCATATCTGGGATGTGACTTCTAACGGGACTGAATATGTTTGCATTAGAGTTTAGCTGCGGGCTTTGTAAGGGGCTTGCCGTTGTCTGGGGCTGATTAAGTTGACGGTCAATGTATCCTCCTTGTGTAATAGACAATAGATCGTTCTTTAACGTATCTAATTCGCTTTTAGATTTACTAATGTTTTCCATTTGTACTTGTTTCCTTTCTTGTTCCAGTTGCCACTTTTGTAGTCCCTCTTCTTGTTTATTTTCTTTCTCCTACAATAGCTGTTGTAATCTCTCTTGTTTATTTTGTTGTTCGAGCTGCCACTGTTGTTGTCTCTCTTCTTTTTTCTTTTCTTGTTTATTTTCTCCTTCTTCTTGTTTCTTTTGCTGCTCTTGTATTGCTGCCATCAAGTCTGCTAAGCTGTAGTTTGATTTGCCGCCTCTCGTTTCCATTTTCTTCTTTTTTTTTCTATCCCACTTCTGACACCAATTTGTTACGTCTCTGTATGTTTGTTTGTTAATTCCTCTAAGATACAAGTCCTTTCTTTATTTGAGGAAGAATAAACAAGTTTTGTACAACTTTGTAATGTACTTAATTTTCACACTTACACACACTATAGTTCACAACAATTCACTCACTTTCTATCGCGCTTAGACTTAATTGTCCGTCCCCGCCAACAATAGTTCCGATGTCTGTGTCTGCTATCCTCAGTTCCCGCCGACCGTAATCGCTGTTATTCTTTCTCTCTGCCTCCGTCTGTCTCTCTCACTGTCTAGCGCACTTATATACGATAATACTGCCTGTTCTAGAAACTTCTAAGACACTCGACACGTGCTACCAGCGTCACTTGACTTCCGCTGTGGTAACACACTAGCGAATCTTCTAGAATACTCGTCACGTGACCCCCGCTGTCGTAACATACTAGCGAATCTTCTAGAATACTCGTCACGTGACCCCACTGTCGTAACAATAGTATCCACACACACACACACACACACACATACTCGTCCCCGTTTATGTTATTTTCAATGATGTTAAACCATGTGTTTTATCAAGATGAAAAAATCGAAACTTTTATTTAGCACAGTTAGCTGCTATACATTTCGAAACTTTATTTTAGAATACTTCTAAAGTTTAAAAAAGTAAAAGAAAAACAAACAAAAAACACGCGGTATCTACATTCTTAGAGCATAGACAAACAGACTCTAATGTTAGCTTCATGTAAGTCTACTAAGAAAAGAGAGATTTCTTAAATCTTGAATGACGTGTAAAATATTACGTTTAATGACGCACGTAAAACGCACGGTTACTATTGGCTCCTAATATACCACGTTGGCCTTTTATGGTGTAACAAGTTTCCGTTTTGCTACGAGAGCTGTGATATAACGGCCTACAAAGTAAAAAGCCGAAAATAATTGTCAATTTTAAATCTACCAGTTATTTGCTTTATACTCAAATAGTTGTACGAGCAAACTACTTGTATTGAGTATAATTATTCTGATAAGGTGCATTTCTTGGATTAGCACAAATCAACACCCATATGTGTAATTGTATCAAGTGTAAGGCTATGGGAATTCATGCTGCATAAGCTGTTCAGGTAAATAACATATATTTTTTTTAAATTCAGATTTAAGTGTTTTAACAAAACACAAAAGTTTAGAGTTTAGTTTAATAAATAGTTTACTTTACTTATATATATAGTGCAACAAAAATTATGTGGTTTGTACAGACTAATAAAAGAATTAAGCTGACGTAACAGTTTAATCTATACTTGTACTGAAGCATTTGCGCGTTTTACTCTAGGTTTAGTTTTATCTCCATACAAAAAATAGTTCTAAAATATACGTTCATACTATTGCTACTGTGACATAATATGAAACTTTCTATTATTTTGGTATTATTATAAAACAATGAAAGGAATTTCGTGGAGAGAAACTCAATGATGAAATGCTTACGAAAAAAATAAAACCGAAAATATCAATGCGCTAGGCACTATGTGTATTAGAACAAGCTCACAATGGTGGATTGGAGGAAGGAGTTGTGGCGGTGATGGTAAAGGCTTGTTTAACCAAGTAGTAACTATAAATGTATATGTGTTACCGTTAAAAGCAAGATTCAGAGTTCACTCTATTGTCGTAAGTAATTATCGTGCTCAATTTATCGTCTCTTAACTTTAAAGTATTAGCCTAACTGTGGCATGATATTTGTAGTTTACTGAATGCAAAATTGTTTGGCCTTTGTTCGATCATTTGTGTAGGCTATGTAAGTATATTCGTGTGTATACTATATACACACAGTTCTCTCGGTTTACGCCACAGAATACTGTAATGATATTTATTGTTAGCATAATATGGCATAGCGTAATAAATTATGTCTATCGTTGTATTAACAATAATATACATTACTCCAAACGTTCACTTTCAACACATTAATATCCATATTCAAAGTTTGTTATCTGCATCGCTAGGCCCCAATGACTTATAATTTATATTTTTATATTACTGAAAACCGGGTTTCGATACTCGTGGTGAGTACAGTACAGTCCATTGTGTAGCCTTGTGCTTATATACAAACAAACTGTATCACTATTTCTGACTACTTTAATTCTTAGTGAGTAACCTACTGAACCGAATAAATAATTAAAAAATACAACAATAGCAACTTTTACAGTAGGCAAGTTCTGATTCTAATGGTTACACCGTTTTGACCCCTAACATCCGGTCATCATCAGGTAGAAGTTACATTGAAAACTTTTAATTAAAAACATTATTGTATTTATGGTTCAAATTTGTATAGTTTTTTATTGCAGTATTGGCATAGCGTAATATAAATTGTTACCAGTTGTTATGAAACACCAAGTTGATATTTCATAAGTGGTAACCTCAGCTTGTAATGTTTTTCGACTTCATTTTCAGCTCATGGTATTATTAGAGCAAAGTTAAATTTTTAGCAGACTACTATTTATATTAGAATAACCATCACCTGTAGTACAAATTTTGAACAATACATGGGCCATATAATTGCGTTTTGTACATAAAATTATACCTAAAATCTGATTTCCTTCACTTTGTGTTACAGGCAAAGTTCACTCTAGTTTTAACAAATATTCTAATTAAAAAATTATTGTGATTAGTAATGCATCGAATGCAACTACTTTCTCATTTTATGTAATTACTACATTTGCACGAGCATACAAATTTTCATATCCTTTGTCTTTTGCCCCCCAATGGCACAGTGGTATGTCTGCGGACTTACAATTCTAGAAACCAGGTTTCGATACCTTTTGTGGGCAGAGCACAGATAGCCCATTGTGTAACTTTGTGCTTATCTTCAAACAAAGAAACTCTTGCCTTTCACTCACACAGTTAATTATACAGCAAATTAACCTAGCAGTGGTAATATTAGAAATTTTAATTGCTTTTTATTTAAATCACTGAAGGGGAAATACTAAAAGCTTATGTAAACCATTAATTTCGACGTTCTTGTTTCTTAAATTACATCGTCATGCAAGTAACAAATCTCTCATTTGATGTTAAAATTTTCTTAAGATTTGTCAGATCCACAACTTTCATTGTTCTTGTAATCCAGCTCTTATGGCGAAATGTTGGCAGAAATAAGCTTTTAATTTTTATTGTTATTGTATGGAGAGTAAAGTTTCTTTTCTAACATTATTGCCCTGGTATCTAAATCCCTCCAGTATGCACAACAAATTTTGAAAAACAAAATATATACAACAGTGGATTAAGTTTAGATTAGATGTTTGTAGCACCCACTATATCAATTATTTAACTTATAAGATGGCAAGCGAAACGTTATTAGACATGAACATAATAAAGAATATTCCTTCAGACAACTAAGTACATCGTTATCAAGTAAATTCAATATATTAAATTGCATTTTTGATTTTTAAAACATCAAAATAGCTTTAAAAAACAAGTATTCAGATCAATCACATTTTTATTATTTAAGTCGTACTACGTAGCTCTGATATTACAACACACTCCGTGTTCAGTTTTGCATCTGTTCTCCCCGGAAGTAAGAGAACAAAAGCACTGAATTAGAATACACTGTGTTTGCCTAGTTGATGTTGTGTCATTCGATTTCGCAAGACAGGTTGTGGTAAACGTTAGTGCAAGATGTTTCCAAATACTTTCAGATCGGTTTCTTAGTGTTGATACATGTTGTTTTTTATCGTGGTGTAACATTTTTAGTTTATTTCGTCAGTATATAAGGGTGTACATTAACTTATTATCTTATTTTTTTTTCAGATTGTGAATAACAAGGGATAACGAGAAGAAAAGTGCAGCTTTGAGATCAGAAACTTCTTAGCTCATTAGGATAAAAATGTATGCTTGAATCGTAGTTTCTAAACTTCCCATTAACGAGAAACCTGCTGCAAAGGAATACAGTTACTCTTCTTTGTTTGTGTGTCGCAGTTTTAGAACACAGTGTCAACAGCCATTTCCCCACATGAATCTTACACGACGTCCGTTTCTTAATTTCCATGCTGCACGACAGAAAGAAGAGCAAAATTCCGATAAAAACACAGAAAATTGGATTGGTGGTAGCCTTAGCCCTAACCTTCAACCTCCTACACCGCCAGTATATCCAGACAATAATGAACCTTTTGCAACTTGTCGAATCGGTTATTATTTATTGCTAGGACAACAGGAAGGCTCTACTTTTTATCGATGTATCCATATACAAACCCAAGAAGAATTTATTTGTAAAGTAAGTAACAAATGACACTGTTAGTGATTGCGAAACTGTTACTAGTGGGTTTAAGTTTAATGAACAAATGTATAATTATGTAATAATTTCTACCAGTAGAAATGCTAAAAATATTCCATAAAAATTTTACAATTAATAACGATTAGTTGTAATTATGAGTGACAGGCAAACCACACACACACACACACAAAAACTGTATGACCACTACCTTAGGTCATTAGTTGGATATCCACGCAGTGTTAGCAGTGTTTTTGGTTCTTATCTTAAGAACACCCGACAAGGATGAGCTTGTTTAGCGAATTGCCAAGCGCCGAAGCAGAATGTTATGATTCGGTTTATTAAAAAAACAAAAAAACTGTAAATTGTAACTGAAAGATGTGTTTTAAAAACACTGAGAAAAGGCCAGTATCTAATTTTTGGTTAAATATTTCGATGTACATTACGATGACAGAGATAAATTTCATACCAGAATAATTTTGAGGTGTTTGTGTTACAGCTTGCAGTAAAGTTTATTACACTTTTTTCAGGAAAGAAACTGCTTTTTACTGAAATATCTGCCTTGATTCCAAAGAAACAAACAAACAAAAAAAAAACAACAACAAACAAACAGGTCTTGACAATGAACTAGCACACAGCCAAGATGATATTATTACCTTAAAGAATTAAGAGTTTTTAGAAATAAATCTGTTAATTGCTATATTTTCTCCCTGTTACGTTTTGTATTAAAATATTTCAGGATGTGAGACAGTTAAACAGGAAACAATGGTTGCAACTGTGTGCTAGATGTCCGTCCACCTGTTAGATAGAATCGTTTACAATATTTATAAGATCGAATGATCCAGATAGATACTTGCAGTAATCCCAACTAAAGTTGCTGATGTAATAATTATAATAATAATAATAAAACTAATCTCACCTTGATGAAAAATGGGATCAATTTTAGAGACATTTCATTCGTGATTAATAAAGATGATTCAAGCTAGTCTCTGCTGTTTGAAATTTTTTAACAAGTACTGTATAACGAATATTTATTTTTATTACCTTTGTTACGTATTAGAATTTCAAACGGTCTGAAATTGGGTTAACTGATAATTTAAATTTGGTAGTTTAATTGTATTTTGGGTTTAGTATTTAAATGTATGCTGATATATCTCCAATATATGATATTTGCCAACAAGATTGATACACGCAGTTTCTTTTTTAACACAAATATGTTTTAATATACAAACAACAATACAATTTACAATAACAGTTATTAGAAACAATTATTTATAAACAAAAGTTGCACAAACTTAGAAGCAATATAAACTATTATTTCTAGTCTGGAACTTCTTTGATATCTTATCGAGGGTTCACGAGTTGACGTAGGTGCAATTCGCTTCACGGGAAGCTAGTTAGCTTTGTCCTTCATTATTCACCAGCCACACACGCTGAGTTTTCCACCGTTGAAGTTAGGTAATGTTTTCGTAAAAGAACTAATGTCCGATGATAATCCACCGAAGTTAAATGATTTGTAATGTTCGAACTTTGTAAATGCTCCTGGTCAAATATCTGAAGTTTTCCGATTGATAAGTGTTATAACAATCACAGTTATAGCTTCCGAAGTTTATAGCACACTGATTATAGCGAACTAATAATAGATACTCCTTTTTTGGCGCGTCGCGTTGGTTATATTTATAGGCGTGTGGAGGCTTTCTAGAAAATTGAGATTACGTAACAATACAAAGCTACATTTAAGCGTTTACGTAAATACACATATTG